ACATGCCTCACACACCTGTTTGACATGCTTTGTGCGCGCCATAATTTTGACACAAAAGGTACCCCTCCTTGACACATTAAGGACATCGAAAACCCCTTCTCAAATTTTTGGGAAAAATAAGGAACTGTTTAGTAAAAATTCAAAATAATATGAGAAAAATCTATGAACTTCATGTCAAATTTGTTATGTATCCATTTTAAGCATCTTTTATCTTTCTGATTAATGTATATGTAATTTTATTTATTGCACAAAAATATGGTCTGCAACACATAACCAAGTCGTGCCAATCCTGTGAAATGCTTGTGCATCCAGGAATTAGTCTAGAGAAAGAAAAACAAATTGGTTTTGAACATAACCCTGCATGGACGTACGGGTGGAAAGTTTTATCCTACCACTGGAGCTGCTGACGAGGTTTGTACCATGGGCGGAGAAGGGTACTGCGTAAATGTTCCGAGGAGTTGAAGATAAGTTGACGACAATGACTGTGTATATATGCGTTGCAGCACGCCGTTCTTATTATATGTGGGCTTTAGTAGTTCTCTAACACTATTGGACTAGTGCTAGATGAGACATTTGTATTGTTGATTATTCTTTACTTAGCTGCTTAAGTGTCACCCACTTATACTCTAACACTATTGGACTAGTGCTAGTTGTGACATTTGTGTGGTTGATTATTCTTTACTTAGCTGCTTAAGTGTCGCCCACTTATTGGTAGCTTGGTAGTCACCCGGATTGTGCTAGTTTAGAACTGATTGTGACCTTTGGATGAGATTGACGACTGAGGTTTATTCTTGTGAGATATTTTCTCTTAGGCTTCGACTTTTGAGTTCGATTTAGTTCCTTCCTTGAGACTTCTCTTCTCTTTCTCACAATTGGTCCGTCTCTCTCTCTGTTGAGTCCGTGGTCTTCATCTGGCGTTCACTGTCTTCTTTAGCCTATTGTTGAGAGAACCTTGTGTATTATTCAGGCTTGAAATAGTAGCTGAATGGTTTGGTTTCTTGTGATATATTTTCTCTTGGGCTTCGACTTTTGAGTTCGATTCAGTTCCTTCCTTGAGACTTCTCTTCTCTTTCTCACAATTGGTCCATCTCTCTCTCTGTTGAGTCCGTGGTCTTCATCTGGCGTTCACTGTCTTCTTTAGCCTATTGTTGAGAGAACCTTGTGTATTATTCAGGCTTGAAATAGTAGTTGAATGGTTTGGTTTCTCACAAGGGTTAGGTCAGTGTTAGGGTTTGAACTTGACTGTTTTAGTAGATCCTTGGATCGATAACCAAAGTCGAGTTCTGAGTGTTTCTGACCGGTTATAAATCTCTCACTGGAATGCAATTTGCAAACAAGGAGGGGCTGTTCCATAGCCTACCATTTCCGGCCATGGATGAGTGAATTGGGTATCAACGTTTTGCTTCACTAGAAGGAAAGAATAACTCTGTTATTTACTATTTTCAGTTTCTATGGTTTCATTATGCCTTTTAGATGTCTGACTGCATTGTGGTATTTTAAGATTATAACTGTAATTCCCAACACTATAGCTTCAGAGTTTGCCCCAAATTTCACCATCATATCAGCTGGATTTGTTGCTGCAACGAGTGATCCTCTTGGCTGCTGTGATGTTACTCCAACTGGCTATGCACAAATGACACAAATGTATAGTAGTAGTACTCTTTCTGGAGAGAAGTTACTGGTCATCCTTGAGGATGAATTCAATCTTCGTTCAATATCATCCTCTGCCACTGTAGTAATTAAGGTCTTACTTGGTGAATCTCCTGCAAGCAGTTTGGATCACATAGTATTAAAAAAAAAAAAAGGTTAACAGAAAAGAGAGAAGACGAGCAGCAGTGACAACATGGTTGAAATTGGGACGAAAGAGGTTGTTGCACCGGTTCTAGCTTGTGCAAACTAACTACTTTTTTTGCAGATTTTAGTGCATCATTTTCTTCCCTAGCAGAGCTTTTAAGGGACTTTTCTATATCTAGAGACTTCATAGCATGCAAATGTCCCGAATTCAAGTTTCATCGCCACTATTTAAATTAAACTCGAACAAGTGATCATGTGCCACTTGACATGTTTTTTTAAATACAATTATTTAAATTTCTGACATTTACATTATACTTCCAAGACATGCCTCGTGCACCTGCACGTGCATGGCACGTCTGGTGTACATGTTTGAACGCCTTGTGTACATTATATTTTTAATAGTAGAGGTGAAAATTGATTATTTTTTAGAATGTTTGGTTAATAAGTAGGCAAAAGTCATGAGTCTACATGCAAAATTATTTTATTGAGTAAATGTGATTGAAAATACGTTTGGAGATAAATAAGTTTTAAAGAATCTTTACCTATCAGTGACATATACAAGAATGGAGAATGTCCATATTAGTCCCTATTTATCTTAAAGAGACAACTCATTTGTTACGTAAACTGAGTGTACGTAAAGAGTTTGTAAGACATTTATAACATGTTATGTTCTCAAATTAAACAATATTTTCTAAGGAGTTCTCTTATCGAATTCAAATTGTTTTGGATCCATGCTTAAGAAAAATATCTTGTGTTTCTGATGCATGGGAACCTTGAATGTACAAACCCTGTAATATTCTTCATTTCAGCGTTTAAACACAAAATTATTAAAATTTCAGCTACCCACAGACTTAGCATTAATGAAGACGTTCAGTACATTCTTTTCCAATTCAACCCTTCATTTGTGCCCTGGGAGAAATGGAGGATTTATTTTTTCCAGTTTAACTGGATCTAGTTCATTTTTTCTCGGCCAAAGATTGATACATGTATAATTTTTCATACTCTAGCTAGTAGCAGCAAGGCATGATGCTTCAATACTTTCCATTTTAAAGCCTATACTGTTAGGTACGGGATATTTACTACTCGACATGTACATCCAAGGATCTTCACCGGAAAATATCCACCCACATGCAATGAAACAAATGAAGAGCCTAAACAAGATTGAAAAATAAAGCATATAAAATTTTCTGAACAAAACTCCACTCCTTTCGACCTATTGATATAAAAAATTCAATAATGTTATTTATCATTAAGATAATGAAATTTCAGTCATGTAACAGTTTACGCGGAATAATGGAATTGAGTAGTTCAATTTTTATGAGAGAGGGCAAGGAAAGAGATAAATGTGAAGGATAATGAGTTGTCATATAACCGATATTCCATTATCATGATGATAAATAGCATTACTCTCGAAAAATTGAAATAAAAAAGAAACAAAGCAAATAAAAATCAGGGTTTTGCAACATAAATTCTAATATTTCGTACCGAACATGGACTTAGTGTAGGCTAAGAATACAAGATCAAGCATCTCGAACACGAAGTACAAATATATCTTCTCTTGAGGACAAAACGAAGGGGCAGAAAACAGAAGCTCCATTTGGTCTGAACATCAACTGATTCTACCTTGCCTTCACCGTAAGGGCAAGATCCCGTCGCTTCTTGTCTGCTTACTCTTTTTCTTGTTCATTGCAACTGTAAAGAAAACACATTCCGTGCTTGCTTGTTGCTCTGATCAGTACGTTTTGTTTTTTTTTTTTTTTGGTTTTCTGGTTTGGATGTGTTTCAGCCAATTTATGACTGCTTGTATATATTTAGGTAGATTTTGGTGATAAGAACTCTAGGTGGGGTTGATATGTAATGTTGATCAATTGTGCTACACAAACAGGCTTAAAAGGGATTCAAAAATAGGGTTACTCTGGTCGACACGTGATTGACAGTTTTAAAAAAAATTAAAATACGACATCCAATTATTATCTGCCACATCATCTGTCCCTCCATCCCCGTTCTTGAATCTGTCCAAGGAGCATTATACTGGATAAGATTAGACAGTATAATTGACAAAGACTATTTTTTTCCCTAACTTGTACTGTCTATTGTCATTGTAATGGTGCCTCTCTAGTAGTAGACAAGATTTATTTATTTATTTTGGGCTACTCATGTTTAATCACGTCTGGTTTAACACAGCAAACCTTCGCTACTCATGTTTAATCACGTCTGGTTTAACACAGCAAACATATATAAAATTTTAACTTCTTTCCTTCAATAATTGTGCTTGTGGTAGTGTTAGCTTATGAAACATGTCTTTGACTTTGACCTTTTTAATGTGGTATTTTTTAACCGTCAATGCACAAAATTATAGTATGTTTGGTTGTATTTAGAATAAGCTAAAACTAATTTTTGAAAAGTTCAAATTGATAAAAATTATTTAATTTATTAAGCCCCTGTGTGGTCGGGATTAAAATCAATTTTTTATTAGATTTTAATAAAAATTGATGAAATGTGTAATTAAAAAGTTATGTAAAATGTGTGGTTAAAATTAATTGTTAACTTTATTTTAAAATTTAAATTGAATTTTAATTCAAACCAATCGGAATTATTTTCTCTCTTCATATGCTTTTTGGTTTTTGAGAAATATAAAAAGAACTTAGGGCTTGTTATAAAAATTAATAGAGAAAGATAGTTACGAATTAATAGCTAATTCCTCCACTTACCTAATGGGCCATCTATATAGTCGTAGTTTTCTTAATTGGTACATAATAACTTGAGGAAATTACACCAAGGGAAATTATAATAATTCATGTGTTTAAAGATTGGAATTCAAAATTCAGGGATCAAGTTTTATTATTCAAAAATCAGGTGATATAAAAACTCTTAACCCTAATTTTTCACCACTTCCCCTTCACCTCTTCCCCTCTCTCTCTCTCTCGCTCTCTCTCTCGCCAATGGTCTCCCCTCCGTTCGCCTCGCCTCGCCTCGCCTCCCCTCTCTCTTCCCTCCCCCTCCCCTCCCCTCTCGCTGTGCTTCGCAAAAGCGAGATGCTGCGAATCGCAGCAGCGCTGCAGCAGCAGCGATGCTGCTGTGGGTGGTGGTTTGCGGTGGAGTGCTGATTCGATTGGAGTATTGGGCGGCGGATTGGTGGCCGATTTGGTGATTCGATTGGATCTAATTTGTTGTTGGTTGGTGTTTTGCGACGGAGTATTGGGTGTGGCGGTTTGGCTGTTGGCGGATTTGTGGGGTGGCGAATTGGTGGTTGGCTGTTTATGTTTGCGGTCGTTGGTGGCGGATCTATTGATGGTGGTGGCGGATCTGCTGTTGCAAGTGTTCTGTGGCTGTGGGTGTGGTGGCTGCGATCTGTGACC